AAAAATCCCGCATTACCGCATGAAAAAATCGAAAATACCGCATACCGCAAAAACGAATATGGCGTTGCAATTTAAACATAAGTGTGATAAAGCTAATAAACCTACTAAATGGCTTCTCGTAGTTTTGTTACGCTTTTACGTTCCTCCGCTCCGACTTCACAGCGGAATTTGTTTTTCTTTCTATAATGTTTTCCTCCTTTTCCTTCTTCATAGAAGAACGCCACGCATTCTATAATTACTAGGCTGTCAGACATACTTCGGAGTATGTAAGTACGATAACGATGTCACAAAGATTAACGAGAATGACCAGGTAGTCCAGAGAGGTCATATAGGTCAAATTACATGATAGAAAGGTCTGTGATTGGCTGTATGGATTGTGAATCATTTTTCTCGCAATACCGCCATTTTAAGCGATTTTTCCCGTAATACCGCATCTTAAAACTTCAAATACCGCATATCGCACAAAATACAAATCCCGCATTATCGAATTTATTTTGCCAAATTACCGGAATATCGCATGAAAAAACGGTCAATCCCGCAATCCCCCAAACCCCAATGTCCCCCTCCAATAGCGTTAGCGCAACATGCCGACCAGATCTTTTGCCCAATGTACGCGAGCTATTGAAGATGTCCTTCCCATCGGAAGTGTCGAGGCTGATCGTTCTTGCCTTAGACGAATCTATAATTGGCTGAGGACAACGATGACCACAGAGACGCAGTCAGATTTAGCGTTTATTGCCATACATGGCAATGCTATTCCCCTAACCACACAAGAAATATGCCGGGCATTTATGCAGCTCCATCCTAGGAGAATGTAGGAGCCATCGCTTTTCTGCTTATCTGTATCATTTTATATTAGTTTTGATGTAAAATAGTTGTTACTCTACATAGAGAAACACTCAGACTTAAAAAAACGAAACAAGCAACAAAATACCAAAACTATCTTATGTAGCTGCTAGAGTGTATGCTGCATTGATTAATAGATAGAAAAATTGAATATTAAATAAATACTTGGCATAAAATAGTCACCCTCCTTCCCAAAATCCTGGATCCGCCACTGTAGCTAAGCGTATTACAGTGATAAATGTCCAATGAAGTAAACAACTAGTCCTTCGCATCCGTTGTCAACGGATGTGAAGGAGACTAGTCGTAAACAACCAGTACTTGAACAAACATATCAGTTTTTGACATGGATTTCAAGGCCTACAACTCATTGCATATGATAATGGCACTGCCCTTCTCATGGAGCTTAACGGTATTTTTTGGTGTGTTGTCAACGTCCTTTTAGAAAATCTTACACTTTGCGTTTGCGATTCTCTGGAAAATGAAACAATTGTCTGATTTAATACGCATGTGTGATTTACATGCAGTAACAAATTCATTTAAATTCACATTATTTCAGATGCTTTTATATTTCATCGAATGTCAATAATAATAATTTAACAAAAAGAAAATAAAAAAAGTCCTACCTTGAAACTTTAACATAACGATTCATAGAGATTCCAGAATATTCTCAGAGCTAGCTAACTAGTGATCACAAGTTTTCTCATGTGGCTCATGTGTAAAAATAGTCGTCCGCTTGGTGTAATTGACAACCAGTCATGTCTAGTTTAGTGACAAAAGATACCAATCGATTATCAAGATAAGTTGAGGCAAAAAGTTTTTAAATCAGTAAAATACACAAAAAACTTTTAAGCTTAACTATAAATTATTGAAAATTTTAAATTATGGGAGGTTATAAGTAGACAAATGAATATCCATGAAATTAATACCTGGACCAGGCCCTACTTTATCAACGTATAATAAATCGCAATATGCTAAAAAAATGAATAAATATCAGTCTTGAACTTCCAAGAAGACACTAAAGTACTCTAATTTAACTTATTTTTAGCTTCAAAGTCAAAATAAAGCAATATTCGAGTGAATTGAATACAATCTTTTTTTAGCCTCGTTTCCATGCGCACTTCCAATCAACCCAAAAGATTCGTATTTATAACGATGTTCCCCTAATTAGATTTTTATAGACTTTTAATATGTTATTAGTCACTTGTTTCTGAGTCTAAAACCGTTGAGAAACTTTCTGTTGCAATTTGTTATGGGTTGAGCCTTTTTTTCCACTATTTTGACTGGACTATTTGACTCGGACTGTGATTTGACTCAGAAAAAAAACGCACTACGACCCAAGGATGGTTTCATTCGAAAAGTACAGTTCAAGTTCGACCATCTTACTTTACTAAAACCTCTATTTATTTAAAGCAAAATGATCAATCTCCTGATATCATTTTTGATTTTGTGTCAACTGTTAAACTACTTTTAATGGGTGGTTTCCTAATAGTTTGATTTCCATTGTTTTTGAGTCAACACCACTTACTTTGAAGTGCTAATTGGTTTGCTTTTTTCAAGTTCTTATTGTTGAGTAATACAGATGTTTACATAGTCAATGAAGTTTGAACTTTTAGGACTACAACGAGACACGGTGTCAGATATGATATTTTTTTTTAACTTTTTGTCTTCCTATAGCAAACTTTTCACGTTATATTTTGTGAATGATTTGGAATCATTCTAAACAATGAGCAATGAACAAGATATTTAACATAGGATATTTTCAAACAAGTAATTAGTGCTGCATGCCAGCCATAAAAGTCACATCGGTTATAAAATGAAAACACATTAAGCCTTTGCTCAGGGAGASCTATGCTCTATAAGTATAAGTATCCTTAAGCATAAGTATCCTGTTTTATTTTCAGTTTTATAAAGATAAATATGAAGGATTGTATTTCATGTATATTATCCTATGATATTATAACCGATTTACTGTGTTTGAAGTATATTGTTTTCCCTTGGGAGGCAACTCCAATAGATCTAATCCCTGAACCAATGTAATGGAGTGTTTTTAGCAACCAAGGCTTAGCAACATCTCAGTTATAGTTTATTTACACTCGAACTCGACGACAGAGTCAGTTTGAACAGTGAACACGCACTGATAGGATCACCTCAGTTAAAACGTTTTAAAGTATCGTAAAAACAACTTCTAAAAATGAGAGAGATTGTGCACTTGCAGGCTGGACAGTGTGGAAACCAAATTGGTGCTAAGGTAAGGAACTTGATCGATATATAACAAAATTCAACAACTACACAAAATATCGGTAGTTTTGATAAGGTCATCCATAATGACTGTCTTTGGTTATATGGTTTAAATCGAGATAAAATAGATACTTGGAGTTTAGAGAAATGCTTCCTAGCTTTTCCTAGATTGAGATGGAATCTTTTCTGAAAAAATTTAAGTTGCTCAGTTATTCCAATTATTCCTTATATTGAAATTAAGAAAAAAAAACGACTTTTACAACTAAGTTAATTATACAACATCAAAAGTGCAGATAGCATATACACATTGTATAATGTGTATTTTCATCACTAGAAAGGTGGGGCGCAAGTCAATAACGAACTCTCAGTGCAGCTTCTCGAACATGTTATCATTTATAAATGCTAAAAAATCGTGAGTAAATACACAGAGTCGATAATTCTATTGAGTATAACCCGTTTATGTTGTTTCAGTTCTGGGAGGTTATATCTGATGAACATGGAATCGAYCCCACTGGTACATACCACGGCGACTCCGATCTACAACTTGAACGAATCAACGTATACTACAACGAGGCAACCGGTATGTAATTCACCATCGCAACCTCGTTTCAATAATTTCAACTTTTTCGTACTTTGAGAACAAAACCACGGCGGAAGAGAGAATGTTTTCACGACTTTAGCAATAAAACACGGTATCAATAGCAACGGCGTCAACAACTGAAAACAATAATGTATTTAATAGGAGAAGTAATTAAAATGCGTAAACAATTGATAACGACATGCAAATACTTACACAATCGCGTAGTGGTGTCAACAGCACTTCTAAGAACCCGATGATTTCAAAATCGCAAAACACAAGGTGAATGATTGCGACATGCAGAAGAAAACGCGCGGGGACTATGTCGTCCCAAGCACCTTCTTATCCGCGGGCCCTGAACAGTTAGTCACTTAATTGAAAAAGAGTTGACATAATATCTGCTCTATTACTATGTTTTAATTACTTGAGGCGTATTGAAAAATGTAAAAKTTCAAACGTTTTCGACTATCAAGTCATCTTCAGGTAGATTAAAAGAGTTATTCTTTAAAAGAGCAACGTCGTAGAACGGGACATATGTACATGATCTATAGACTATTATACTTTATCAAACTTTCATTTTTGACTGAGAACTGCGCGTTCTCGGGCGACTACTTGTTTTTCAAAACATCGAGTTTCTGCGGGCAACAGTTGCTCAGTTGTTGAACTATCATAGATAGCCCCTAATTCAATTACTCAATTGTTTAAATAGAACAATGACTACAATGATATTAATTCCTCCATAACTATATTTACCAAATACAACATATATTTGTCGTTTTCCAGGAGGTAAATATGTCCCTCGTGCCGTTCTTGTTGATCTTGAGCCTGGMACCATGGATTCTGTACGATCAGGACCATTTGGACAGATCTTTAGACCCGATAACTTTGTTTTTGGTAAGTATCCAAAACTTGCTATGATACTGAGCAAGGCTAGTCGTTTGATGACAGCTTAATGAAAGACGTTAAACCAATATCKCCAATTCAGTATCAAAATTTTAGTCAATAAGGTTTTCCTGTCTCAACCTGGTCTAATACATGCACTTACATTTTCCTAGGTCAAAGTGGAGCAGGCAACAACTGGGCAAAAGGACATTACACTGAAGGCGCAGAACTTGTCGACTCAGTTCTTGACGTAGTGAGAAAAGAAGCTGAGAGCTGCGATTGTGTTCAAGGATTCCAGCTGACGCATTCTCTTGGTGGTGGTACTGGATCTGGAATGGGTACACTACTTATTTCCAAAATTCGCGAGGAGTATCCAGACAGAATAATGAACACKTTCAGTGTAGTGCCATCGCCTAAGGTGTCGGATACAGTGGTGGAGCCATACAATGCTACATTGTCTGTTCATCAACTGGTGGAGAACACKGATGAGACATATTGTATTGATAACGAAGCTCTGTATGACATTTGCTTCAGGACACTTAAATTGACTACACCTACTTATGGTGATCTGAACCATCTTGTCTCTGCTACCATGAGTGGTGTCACCACTTGTTTGAGATTCCCTGGACAGGTRAGATGGGATTATTTATTTCTTTTTCCATTCAAGTCAGCACTATRTAACYCATTGCTTTCTTCGATTTTGTAGCTCAATGCTGACTTGCGAAAACTTGCCGTCAACATGGTACCATTTCCACGTCTGCATTTCTTHATGCCTGGCTTTGCTCCATTGACAAGTCGAGGATCTCAGCAATAYCGTGCCCTSACAGTCCCTGAGCTCACACAGCAGATGTTTGATGCCAAGAACATGATGGCTGCATGTGATCCCAGGCACGGTCGATACCTCACTGTTGCTGCAATGTTCCGRGGGCGAATGTCCATGAAGGAGGTTGATGAGCAGATGTTGAACGTGCAAAACAAAAACAGTTCTTACTTCGTCGAGTGGATACCCAATAACGTCAAAACTGCCGTCTGTGACATCCCACCAAGAGGCCTTAAGATGTCAAGTACTTTTGTTGGTAACAGCACCGCCATACAAGAGCTTTTCAAAAGAATCAGTGAACAGTTCACTGCTATGTTTAGAAGAAAAGCTTTCCTTCATTGGTATACTGGTGAGGGAATGGACGAGATGGAATTCACTGAGGTAATGAAATTTCTTCCTTTCTTTAGACTCTTAACGTTTTCCTTCATTTCATCCTTGGGTTTTTGTCCACGTTCAGTTACTTCACTTGGTCTCCCTTCTCTTTACGATATCATCTTTCTCCTTCCCTTCCATTTCTCTTCTCCTTCTCTCCACTTTCGTTAACCTTCAAGCGCTCTCTTTCTTGGCTGACATTCCCAATATTTGCTTGCATACCTTCTTCCTATCTATCCCTCCTCCCTTCTTCGATCCACTCCAGATGGAATAATTCCATGGAGATATTACACAAGAGTTAAAGATATATAAATTAATAAATCCACTTTATTTTCAGGCTGAATCCAACATGAATGACTTAGTCTCAGAATACCAACAGTACCAAGATGCCACCGCAGAGGAAGAAGGAGAATTTGACGAGGAAGAGGAGGGAGAAGAAGAAGCAGCATAAAAATATCCAAAACAATTTTATCATTGCTAATTTATATACAACATGT